CAACACTGAGGGTTGCGATCCGTTGCCGGACACGGAAAAAGACAAAAGGACAAAAAAAAAAAAAACAACCCCAAAGAAACCCAAACAATCCAGAAACAACAATGATAAAATCAGCAGACAAGGGACATTAAAGGGTTTACCAAAAGGCCCATTATGCTGAAGGATGTAAATAATAAGTGAAAAGGAAGACACAGCAAAGAGCCAAACAGAACTTCTAGAAACGGAGAGTGAAGTGAACGAAATGAAAATCTCATGGAACTGAGTTATAGCCGGTGACACACTGCAGGGAAGAAAGGTGAGCAGACTCGAGGACAGGAGTGGGACTCACTGAAGCAAAGAGGAAAGACCGCAAGGAAATGACCAACATTTCAAAGACCTGTGACATCACACAATCATACCAGCTGGTGTAACACTAATCAGAATGACAGGAGAAAGGGGACAGAAAGAAGTACTTGAAAAAATCATGGTCAAATATTTTCCAAGTTAATGAAAATTACAAATCTACAGATCCAAGCTCAACAAACTCCAAGCAGTTAACACACACACACACACACACACACACACACACACAGTCACACCCAAGCACATCATAATCAAACTGCTGAAAACTTTTTGATTGAGAACTCTCAAAAGCAGCCAGGGAAAAAAAGACACGTTATGTAGAAAAGAAAAAAAGATAAAAATACCCATAGACTTCTCATAAGAAACTATGCAAACCAGAAGACAAAGGAATGACACCTTCAGAGGAATGAAAGAAAAAAACCTGTAAAGCTAGAATCCTACAGCCAGAGAAAATGTCATTCAAACATGAAAATTAAAAAAAAAAGCCTTTCCACACACACAAATGCTGGGAAATTCCAGCACCAGCAGACCTTCTCTATGTGAAAGGTTAAGAAATCTTCAACCACAGGAAAATACCAGATGGAAACTTCAATCTGCACAAAGGAATAAAGCGCACCAGAAATGGCACACATCTGGGTACACAGAAAAGGCATCATTTTGCTTTAAAGAATCAATCATATTTAAAAAATTAAGAAAAAATACCTATTTGTTATGAAGGCTTAAATCCTATGTAGTAGTGGAATGTTCACAACAGCAGCACAGAGGACGGCAGGGCTGAATGGAGACATACCACCATGAGTGCTTTCACAAAGTGGCAGATGGCATTCAGAGGTGGCCTGCGATAAGTTCATGATTCACCTACTGTAAATCCTAGATCAGGGCTTCCCCAACAGAACTTTCTGTGCTGATGGAAATATTATGTGTTGCACAATATAGGAGCCACTAGCCACACATGAGCATTTCAAATGTGACTACTATAAAAGATAAACTGAATTTTAAATTTAGCTTTAATTAATTTACACAGCCATGTTCCCATATAACACAGGATAGCCATAGAGCAACCACTGAAAAATAAAACAAGATGTATAGGCAATAAGTCCATAGCAGAGATAAAATGGAATACTTTAAAATATTCAATTAATGCAGAAGAATGCAGGAAAAGAGGAAAAAGGTAACAGACAACAGACGGGATAAAAGGCAATTGACTAGCAAAGAGGATAATACTCTAAATACACGCAGTTTGTCAGACTGGATAACAACGTACAACTCAACACACTCTGTCTGCATAAACTCACTTTACACAAAAAAGAAGGTTAGAAGTAAACAGATGGAAAAAGACATAGCATGCAAACACTAATCAAAAGAGAGCTGGCACGGCTGTGTTAGTAACAGACAAGACAGACATCAGAACTACAAACAGTGCCAAGGATAAAAAGGAAAATCTCATAATGGCAAAGCATCAACTTCAACAGAGGGAAGACAGCAATCCCAGATGTTTATGCCCCTCATAACAGTTCCAAAACACACAGTGAAGGAGCAGATGGGACTGAGAGAAGATGGTCAAGTCCTCAGTTACAGCTGGGCATTTCAACAACTGCTCTCCGAACAGCTGATCCAACAGGGGATAGGAGACCAGTAAGGCCATGAAAGACTAGCATGCTGCTGACCAGCATGTCTTGTTGACACTTACAGACCACTGTACCCACAACTGCCAAACACACATTCTCTTCAAGAGCTCATGGAAAGTTTGCCAGCATGCACCATTTGCTAGGCCACGAGACAAGTCTCAATAACGTTAAAAGGTTTAGAATAATATGTATTATCTGACCACAATCGATTTAAAGAAGAAATCAGTAACAGAGAGCTATCTGGAAGATCCCCAAATATTTGGAAACTAAATGACTCCCCTCTAAATAACACATGGGTAGAAGAATAAATTCCAAGGGAAAATAGAAAATATTTTGAACTGGAAAACGCATGAATCTAAATCTGTGGGAAGCAGCTGAGCATTGTGTAAAGAGAAAGTTACAGTTTTAAATGCTTAGAAAGAAAGCTCCCAAACCAAGGGTCTAAGCTCCCACTTTAAGAGGCTAGAAAAAGAACAAATCCAAAAGAAGAGAAAAAATAAAGTTAAGTGCCATATTAATGAAAAAGAAAACAAACAATACTCTGAAGATTAATACAGATAAATATGTAACCAGCTGTTCAAGCAGAGGAGAAAATATAAATCATCAGTTCCAGGAGAAAGTGGCACACCACTACAGACCCTACAGACAGGACAAGTATCATGAGCAACTTCATGTCAATAAACCTGACAGCCCAGACAGAAAAAGCAACTTCCTTGAAAGACACAAACTACCAAAACTTAACTCAAGAAAAGATGTAGGGCCT